ACCAGTTCTCAGTGCTGGTATTGGGGTGGGGTTGGTGGAGGGAGTTCTCCTGGCTCGCATCATCTGCTGGTGCTTGTGAAGGGACAGGAAAGAGCTGTATGAAGTAATCAGAGGGTCAGATCTGTCCTCACTCAGTTGCCGGGATCTCAGCAGCTGAAGGGGGTAGTGAAGGAGTCCAGCCTGGTTTGGTTCTGTCCTTGCTCAGGTAGGGTGTCCAGATGTCCTGCTCTTATAAGGACAGTCCCAGTGTTTGAGGCTTTTGTCTTACATAGGCACGTATTACCCCCCACCCACTGTCCCAATTTTTCACACTTGCTATCTGGTCACCTATCTTCAGGTCTTCACTATTTAGGCACATGCCTGGGGTATGGGAATGGAATAGCATTGCCAAACCTCCAGGATTGTGCTGGAGTCTCCAGGAATTAAAGGTTAATCTTGAATTAAAGATTATGTCATGTGATGAAACCTCCAGGAATACATCCAACCTGAACTGGCAACCCTAGACTGGAAAGCTGCTTTTCAGCTGCTCCCTACCCACACAATCTACCTGACCAGCTAATTGACCAAAGCACTGAGCTTGGGTCGGGCAGTGTGTGGCTGTCCAGCTTTAGGGCAGGACTGTTCCACTTGGAGAGATCTGGCCTTAAGGCTTCATGATCACAGCAATCATCAGTCTGGCTGCAGAGAGTTTCGCAGCCAGCTGGAGTAGAAGCCAGTCGTTTCTTGCACGGCTAGTTGTTCTGGGGATCTTCAAAAATTTCTGGCAGCCAGTTTTAGTCGTGCAACCTCTCAGCTGCCAGAACGGATAGAATATGATCATATCACATGAAATGCATGCAAGGTCTGCTATAGCAACTGTATTTCAAAGAGACAACACATATGGTGGCTGGTTCTTTTTGGAATAATATCTATAAGCTGAAGATGTTTTATTCAAAAAGGCTGTAGCTTGAAAGGTTAGGGATGTGCTGATTGTTTGATATATGTTTAAAGAGAGGATCCTGTGTGGGGTTTTTTTTTATTTTATTTTTTTTTTGAATCTATTGAATCTAATTACTGGGAACTAAAATGATCATTTGATTGCACTTTTATCTGGAATTATTCTTCTGTAGAACCAGTCTTAATATATAATAATATGTTGCATTTGTACTGTATGGCATTTCTTGTCTGAGAAACTCAGAGTGCATTACCAAGTATTAATTAATTAAATAAGCTGCACAACACCACTGTTAAGTAGGTAAGTATTCTTTGTCCATCCCCATAACCCATGTAGGAATCTTTCTGCTGCTCCTGACCCACCCTTTGAGGCATTTTAACAACCAACCAGGTTAATTAAATAGAAATAACTCGACTTGGAGGAATTCATTTTTAAAATATAATTGCAAAGCATAATATTGATTATTTTTAAGCATTTAAATTTTTTTATCAATTTTAATTTTCACAGTTAGAAGATTATGGGATCTAAGCATTTTTCTGTGTTCACTGATTTACATTTTCACTGTTGTGGGAAATTATGTGGGGGTTAGATAATTATTTAATGACTGTAGATGTTGGGATTCAAAAAGCTAAAGCTATATAACTATTAAACACAAATTGTCAACATCACATGTCAAAATACATAAAGTAAATATCCCTAAATCAAACTCTAATAAGTTCTCCAGCAGCATTTTACTGACTTTGTCTATCTGTAAATTTTGATGATCATCAATGGAAATATTATTTTCCTTGTTTTGTGAATATGGTGAAATAGACATTTACAGCAAAAAATCTAATCAGTCCAAGCCTAAAAATAATATTTTGCCTTCACTATGCATAGCAAGTTCCACTGAAAGATCTCCCAGTCATTCCTGCTGGATTTTATTAATTCATGGCCAATAGAATCCTCTGTCTTGTAGGCTGAACTACCAGAATAGTCCTTGCACGCGTACATGTGTGTGCGCGTGCGTGCACACACAGTTTCTTTGAAGATATGATTTGTGTGCATAGTTGACAGCTTCTCACGCTCCTTCACCCTTTAAGGATCACAGGACGCAGATACACAAGCACGTCAAAATGCCATTTTCTTCGGTGTGTGGCAGGTGCACTGAGCTTTGAATGGCTATCCCTAAATTTAGAATCTGATTTTATGTTTACTTTTACCCCACCAATCTCTGCTCGAAAACACAGCCGTGTTTAAAATCTTTACTGATCTGACAAAGACTTGTTATTAAAGCGCATATTGAAAACAGCGCTATCAAGGTGAATGAAGGCAGGATATGAGGGGAGGGTCTCCTCCATAGTGCACTGGCAAATCAGCCATGAAACAAGGGTACAGCAAAACTCTCAGCACTCCAGGAGTCCTATTCTGCAAGGTGCTGAGTGTTTCCGAAAATCCAGTGTGTACCTTCCTCTCCCACTGAAATCAAGGGCAGGAGCAGGGAAAGGAGAAGAGACAAAATCCTTAGTTGCACTCAGTAAGCACAGAAGCAGGAGGAAGCTGTTTGTGCCTCCCCTTTCTTGAGCCTTATTCTCTGTCCCTCACATGGTTTAGAGCAGTGGTTCTCAACCTTTTAGAGCTCAGGACCCATTTTTAAATGTCTGTGGCCTGTCGCGGCCCTGTAAATAGTCTGAGGACGGAGGCCCTAGGGTGGTTTCAGTCCGATACTACCCCCTGGAGGGGGTTGGGTCCGGCCCAGCACTCACCCCACAGTGGTGGATCCTGCAGTTCCTGTGCTGTGGGGGTGACTGAGCGTGGCTCTAGGCATTGCAACTTCTGGGGTTGCAGTGCCGCTCAGGTTAAGCCCCACCTCCCTGACTGGACCAAATTTCTGTGAGTGGAGCTGGCTCATGGGGTCGCAGCGCCACTCACTCAGATTTGGGCTACCCGGGCTTCCGTCGTCATGACGGCTGGGCCAAACCTGAGCGGTGTTGCGCCCCCGGAGGTTGCAGTGCCTGGAGCAGGGAGGCGAGCCCAGCCAGCGTTGTGGGATGGGAGCCACAGGAACGGTCACACGACCCTTTGAAACATTCTGGCAACCCAATATTGGGTCCCGACCCCTGGATGGAGAAACCCTGGGTTAGAACAATCCCACGGACGAATTCGCCAGAGGCTGATTGCTGTAGTGCAGTGATGCTACAACCAACATTCCCTTCCTCGCTACTTCAGTGCTGGGGGCTGGGAGGGAGAGACGTAAGAGCAGGCCTCACTGGCTGTTTGCCACCTGGGGGTTCGCTCCCTCCAGGGAAACCCCTACGGCCAGCCGCAGTGACTGTCAGGCCCCTTCGTGAAGCCAGGCTCTGGTCCTGAAGCTGTGTGTTTAAGAGAGAGTGACATCTTGCTGTTTGAAGGCACCATCCTGTGCGGTGCTGAGCATCCTCAGAGCCACTTTGAAGTCAGTGGGTCCCTTCACGTAGAAATTCTCCTCATCACCAAGCCTTTCCCAGCTGATCTAGGAACTATCCTGTACATTTAACACTTTACATGTAGAAGAAGCCATTCATAAGACACACACCTACACAGTGAAACCCCTAAACAAATTTCATTCCTCCATCGAACGTGCATTAATTAAATGTCTCCAAGAGCGTACACAGCAGGAGTGTGGCAGTCTCTCTCCCTCCTTCCATGTAGGCATCTTGCAATGGGACTATTTTTCTTGTTTTACATTAATGAAGTCTTCAGTCTGCCCACTTTTACACCTACACATGTACTGAACATCTCCAAGGAGACAGAGAAACCCTGAGTCCAGCAATGGTGAATCCTCCAGTGAGACAGCAGGCTAGGGTCCCAGGCAACTCTTCTAGGCATCTTAATTTCCAGATGTCCCCCACAGATAGTTTTTGGCTCTTGAAGGCAGGCTCTCTCCAGTGGCCCTCTCCTTTGCATCTGAAATGCAGGTGAGTGCACCAAGCGTCTGCAAATGGGCTAGGGGGAGGGACATTCTTCCCATTTTCTGTCTCCTCCTCCCTTCTTTCCCCCACCTTGTCAAGCAGTGTAGGCTTTTCACGGCTGCCTGGCTCCATTTCTGAGCCCATTTCTCAGTGTTGGGGGAGTGTTTCATAATGTTCCAGCAATACCTGATCTGTCTCTTACCTTTCTCCCAGGAATCAGGCCTCATCCTTAAGTCCCCTCTTAAAGGTACAACGCTCCCTGGTTGCTCTTTACTCACTTCCCATTGAAACTTGCTCGTGGGCTCTGTAGTTGATGTGCCGCAATCTTGTCGGACTCTTTTGGGGTGCAGGGGATACAGCACATTCTCCTTGGGCTGTTTTTCTCTGCCCTCTCTCCCCCTTACCTTCACATGGCTCCCACTGCCAACCGAGCCTTTACAAAGAAGCATTATTGACATTAATAGCCTGAATGCCTCCTTTTATTGCGTTGTGTCTCTCTTGCCTCATGCCACTGCCTCTGGCTGCTCCTTCTATGGTAAATTTCCAGAAACCTCTCCTGCCTATCCTGGCCCTAGGAGGACTGCACCTGTTATAATGACGTACAGCACATGTATTAACACCCCTCCTAGAAGGGAGAATCCAGTTAACTGCCCTGCTTTGCTGCAGAAATGCCAGACTATAATGGCTCAGTTGGGAACAAAAAGAGTGTGAAGCCTGCCAAGTCTTTATAGTAAGCCATTTGCCTAGGGCCCAACATCCAAGCCAATCTGATGGGATGTCTGGGCCTTTCCAGCTACATACAGTTAGATAAATCTACTGTAGTCACCATGGAAAAATCAGCAGTTACGCACAGTTACCACATAGTAGCAGGAACTCCACTATCTTCGTATTTCCGTATGGTTAAAATGGGAGAGATAATGGTATGTCACACCATTGTGTGTGCGTGCTCAGATTTCTAATGGAAGCCACTGTAGTGTGAGCACAAACATGCCTCAGGATTTCTTTGGTGAGTGTGCTTCTGGGAGTAGATCAGCATCTGATGTTCAAAGGGATGTCCTGATCAAATACTATGCATTCAGCTTTCCAAATTTTGTACAGTACAAACTCAATTTTTAAAATTCTTTCTTTTCTTCCAGGCTCTGCAGGTGGCACGACAGTTTCTACTGCAGCAACAGCAGCAGCAACAAGTTAGTGGATTAAAGTCACCCAAGAGGAATGACAAACAACCAGCCCTTCAGGTAAGAAAAGGGTGTGGGTGTATGTATGCAAATACATTGCTAATTAACGATAAGGAACAATGTACTATATAAATTTAGGCTGAGATTTGCCAAGTTCTCTGCTTTGGCCTAATAGGCTTCAGTTGAAGTCAGTGCCAAAACTCCCGTTGGCTTCAGTGGGCACAGAGTGAGGTCAATGCTGGGTGCTTTTCAAGATCCCGCCCGTAGTATAGACCTATATCTTGACAACATGTCTTTATTGGGAGCTGGTGAAGAAGATTTATCACAGAAGTGAATGGGTTTTTTTTGTTCTACTAGTCCATTATTGTTGTAAGACTTGAACATTTTTATTTGAAGACTGTTCCGTTTACATTCCATGTTCACCCAAACCATCGATTTGCTGCATCAAGAGTACTCTGAAACCATTATGATATCGTATAATAATTTTTTACTGTATTTTGGGCTGTAGAGCCTCAACAGGGGTCCTATATTTGCAGCTTCTTTAGGAAGCCTAAATATTATTAGGCTTTGCAGGGTTGTTACAAATTCAGAAGGCTAAAACCAATAGACCATCTCCAAATAAAAGATAATATGCATAAATGTGTGGTTTTTGTTGTAGCCTACTAGTCAGGATGGCTAAATTATGGGAGCTAGAGATATGAGCGACCAAATAGGTCATCTGGTTAATGACAATATAGGATTGTTCCCTACATTATGTTTCCTGTTGTTTTTGCAATTCTAGTATTTAGAAGCTTGAAGTAACAGTGGGATTTTCACCAGTCTCCTTAGAATACTATTCCATAACATAACATGACACTTAGGAAGTATTCCCTGGTTCCTAAATTATCCTTTTCTTAATTTCATCCCATTTGTCTAAATTACAGTCCTTGTAACTCTCTAAACACAGTGTTTCTCAAACTGAGGTCTGCAGACCCCTGGGAGTCCCCCGAGGGTAGTTCAGTAGGGACTCCATGGTCCCTGCTCATCAACTCCTCCCCCTCCGGAGGCACAGCAGGGCTAAGACAGGCTCCCTGGCTGCCCTGGCTCTGCTCCGGGAAGTGGCGGCATGTCCCTGTGGCCCCTGGTGGGGAAGGTTCAGGGGGCCTCCACATGGCGCCCCTATCCTGAGCGCCAACTCTGCAGCTCCTGCCAATGGGAGCTGTGAGACAGTGCCTGTGGGCAGGGGTAGCGCACGGAGACCCCTTGGTCCTCCCCGCCTAGGAGCTGCAGCCAGAGAAATGTGCCAGTTGCTTTCAGGAGCTGCCAGGGGTAAGCGCCGCCCCTCACCTCCTCTGGCACCCCAACTCCCTGCCCCAGCCCAGAGCCCACACCCAAACTCCCTCCCAGAGCCCACTGCTCTAAACAATTGCTCTCCATTCTTCATGTTCAAACTCTTCAAATGTGTAGATGTTATCATGTCCCCTACATAGCTATCTCTTTTGCCCAACTGTACGTCTTTAATTTTTTAGATCTATTCTAATAAATCAATCCTTCCAGATCCCTGATCATTTTTCTTATTTATTATTGATGATAACTTTTGTTATTATTCCCTTCTGAATTCCAGTTTCTCAGTGTATTTCTGGCAATGAGGTGTCCACAACTAAATGCAGGAGTTCAAGTGGAGTCACATCAGAGTCCGCCAGAGAGGGGCTGTTTTCTCACTGTTTTGTGCTCTGATGCTTCTGCCTTTGTAGCCCAAAATTATATTGGTCTTTTTTGTTTGTTTTTTTTGTTTCTGTTGCCATAGTGCACTGTCAAACTCAAGTCTGAGTTGCTTTCCCTATTTTTTTTTATTTGCTGTACTACTGTACCTCGATCTCTGACTGCATTAGTTCATCTCTTGCCTTTCATTGGGTATATGTGATTCAGATTCTTTTCTTCCCCAAGTAGAGCTTCTATTATCTTTCAACTTGAAGTAGAATATGGAAGATAAAGCCAACGTCACTACAGACCTTGAAAATAAAGCTTGTGGGCCAAATTCTGCAGTCCTTACTCAAACTCCCAATAGATTCAGTGAGAGTTTTGCCTGAGCAAGCATTAAGTGTTAACTGAAGAATTTGATGCAGTAATGGTAATTTGTAGCATTTAAGTGGTGACTTTATCTTCAAAGCTCTTTGTAAATATGAATCCCCAAAACATCTCCAGGAGGATAGTCCAATAAGTAAGTACCATTATCACAATGTTGGGAAACTGAGGCAGACAGGTTGAATGACGAGTTTAAGATCACAGAAGGAAATTTTAGAGGTGGGATTAGAATGCATGAATTCCTGGCTCCCAACCCGTGCTCCGTCTGCTGGGCAACACCTCTCTCTAAATATATGTAAACTATTATTCCTTTGGAAAGTATGAATCGTTCTGTTGATGGGCAAATATAAATTTTATTGGAAGTGTGGAGCACTGTAATCCAAACGGTTATATTAACACTTCCAAAAACATTTTATTTGGTAAATCCATAGCTGATCCGTATGCCTTTTAATAGACTCTTCCACTGGGGACATTTTTAATGAGATATTGTGCTGGCTAGGTCCAGTGTCAGGTAGTAAAAGAAGTGCTTTGTTGTGCAGATGTCTTAAGAATAGCTCCAGAGGATGAAATATGACTGTGTTGCCCTTTCAGCTGTGAGCTTATTTGTCAGGATTCAAATAAGTTGAAAGGATCAAACCAAACAGTTTCCGTAGTCAGACTGGGAATTGTGTTGCAGAGGTCAACAGTGAAGGCCACATTGCAAATTCCATAACATAGCCAATTGTTGGTACATATTAAAGTACTGAAGCAGCTCCAGCAGTCAGAGACACAATTAAAATTCTAATTTATTAATGTATACAGAGAGCAGGCCCAGCCTGTCACTCACTGATTCAAATGACTGCCCATTCTGTTTTCCCTCACTCCTGGAGCTTCTGCAGTCTTAAACATACTGCAAGTCTTCTTGCATATAACAGACCCTGAATGCTTTGGTAAAATGAGAATGTATTATTTCAAAAAACAAAAAAGACAACCACCCTAGAGCATTCGTTTGAGATTATTGAGAAAAACACACACAAACACACATCATTATCATCTGCCTGATCACATTGCTCTAAATAGGAGATATCATTTCTGTCATACAGTTTACAAAATCAACCTGTATAGTTTCCATTCCAAAAATGTGCCCATTTTAGAACGTTTATTTAAATAATGAATCAAGTTGTCTTTGCACTTAGTAAATGACCGTAAAATTTAATCCCTTTGGATAGGTACCGTGTTTACTGGATGTTAGTTATTTTTGTCCATTACAGAATACTATAGAAATTTCTTTGATCTGCTTTTTTACATGCTTGGCAAGGGCACTGCTGAGAAAAGCCTTAATGAGTGTTGTCTAGAGCTCTGTTTCTATGAAATGTGGGGGGAAGGGAAGAAGTTAATCTAGAATGTTGGTTCTGTTAATAAGACGCTTTGTGGCCCTGCCCACCCTTGAGTTCATGAGTTGACAGGCAGGGAGGTTAGGCCAGCTTGATAGGAATACTGAATGTAGTTCATACATATACGATTTATGGTGGCTGCAGAATATTGCTAAGTGAAATCTCAGTCTCAGGCTCTCTAATTTAATACTGGCTGGCAAGCTTTGTCATGTAAACCGGACTGGCACAAACAGATGTGGAAATTTTAGTCTAGTGCAGTGCTATGAAGCTAATTTGTTATCACCTTGCTGAGAATCATTTCTCATGTACCTTGTGATTCACTGATAAAATAGCCAGAGCATTTAAATACACCTTAGCGTCCTATGGTCTAATTAGGACATCATACCTTGAATAGCTTTCACGCAGAAGCATGTTTTACACTGGTCATTTTCAATATCACTTGACCTCAATTGCTACAGCCAGAGATCTGTTTTAGCAAATTTTAGACATTTGGTGTATGAGAACTTGGATAGAAAAGGGGTGATGTGTTCTTCTCATAGTTTAAAAAAAATTAATCTCCAAATATACTATGACTCATATTTTGAGCATATCTCACACTTCCTTGCCTTATATTTGGCAGTGACTTCCAGTTTCACAGCCTGATGATACAAACAAAAGAAAATAAAAGTTAAGAAATGGATTTAATAACGAGCAATTTTGGGAGGTGGAATTCACAACCACAAAATTAGGTGAGGAAGGAGCAAATCTTACAAATACTTGCCATGGATGTCATATTCCCTTGTATATGTGAAACAATTATTTGAGCCATCCACGTGTGCTGAGAGCCCAGAAAATTCATACGTTTTACCCAGCCAAGACAAATTTACTTGTATGTTAATAGATTATTTATTGATTAAAATTTGCAGGTTTAATTGCTGATTCTCTTGGTGATTATTCATTTTGGTTCTTTAAGCATGTTAGTTGCTGGCATGAATACATACATTGGAAACAAATCAAGAGACACATTTTCTCCCAAGAAAGTAAAAGTGCATGTGTATTTTGGCAATGCTAAAAATATTCTTTAAAAAAAGAAGTAGTAAGTGTTGTGTGTTACATTGAATTGAAAGTTGGACATAATGGCTTACAATGGATTTACAAAGTTCAGGGCAGGATTTTGCATTTGAAACTGATAAGATGATGCATTTTTTCAGATTAAATGTTAATCATTATGTGGTAGAGAAAAAGTTGTAAGATTTACCGAGATAGAATTTTTTTTCCGTTGATGGTGAAGGGTTCTATTAAGAATATGGCAGATGTTTTGGTTAGGGCGGTTTTTCACCTTAGCATTCCTGTTTGGTGCTATATAAAACATGCTTTAGGCTGTTCTCTTGTTTAGCTTAATGCCACATGATGTATCATATTGGTACCTCTTATCAATATCATGAGAAATAGATAAGATCAAGAGCAAAAAAACACAAGATGTGATGTAGAAATCAGCAGTAGTGTGAAATTATAGGTGGTTACAAATTTTAAGGGCATTTTCCTTTTTAATTTTTTTAATGAAATTAGAAATTTAACTGGCAACTCACTATGCAATTAAAGGTGAAGTGAAGAATAATTTTACCCTTGTGCAGGGTTCTGTGT